AGTTGAAAAATAGACTGCAAATTATTTTTTAAATAGGCTTTTTCGAAATTTTTCAAACTACTGGATTCCTCGATTTCTTGATCAAGTTAAACATCACAATCAATTTTCCAGGTTGAATTTAACAATCGGTTCACTGAGGCCCTTTGAACTGAGCAACGATTTGATGAACTTACTAATATGGCGAAATTATTGCTGCCTTACGGTTATGCTAAGCAAAATTGTCGATTCACGCACCTGCCGGTTAAGGCATAAGGTAAAATATATGAATAAGCAGCATGTTGTGAAAACCAGGAATAAAAGTATGATTTCAGGTTTTTGGCTTAAATACCTATGTTCCGAGGAAAACAGATGGTGTTGCTTATGATGCAACTAACTCCATAAGGTGAGTAAAACATCTTGAATTTATTAATTAAAACGCTAAAATCTCGCCGGACCAACCACAAGCTCAGATTTGCAGACGTACACATTTGAACCCCAGTAACAATTCCACAATTTCAGCAAAAATCAGAAAAAAATCCGAATTCAAAACTTTTCTCGGAAAAATAAACTTCAAAATTCACTAGCTCGGAATGTGCAAGTTTTTTTGTTTTCCCCACCACACGCTTTTCCATATTATTTGTTATTGAAAGCGATAAAGAGGTTTAATTTTTATTAAAAATTTACAAATACCACTTAAATTTTTCAAACTTAAAAAAAAGCGGTGTAAGCATTTTAAACTACTGTGAGATAATGGTGACAGAACTGCTCATCAGACGGTATATTTCTGGCCAAGTTTAACGGATCATGAGCGACATGTGCTACGAGATGCGTTCAATGAGATCAAACGCAGAACATGCATCAACTTTGAAGAAAAAGACTATCAACCGTGGTATCATGCCGATCGATGGGTAGAGGAAAACCCATACGTTATCATTCGGAAAAGCAATAAATATATTGGTGAGCGAAATTTCGACAAATTTCTAAAAATAATACCGGTTTCAAAATACCACAGTGGGCTAGGAAGGGGTTCTGTGTGATTGGGAACAGCGCTTTTCCACATATCAGCGATGTCATGAATGACAAGAGCTTTGTCGAATGCCTCTGTTTGAAGAACCAATAATAAGGTAACGAATCGTTCATTCAGAAGGAAAAAAACCCCGTCAGGATCGCCTGCAGGCTCACAACAGGGTGAAGCAGTAGCAGTCAAAGCAAGTTAGAAAACGAAGCACCGAATCATAGAAAATGCCGAAATATGTGCCAGCAATTTCAGAATTTTCGCAGTATTTTTGAACGGTAAATTGGTACAAGGAGTCTTACCATTTTGAACGCGCAGCACAATCAGCTGTTCTGGAACGCAGCAGCCAGTGATCCCACTTCCAGAGCAGTGCAACTTCGTGGCATGCGTCAATACCAATTAGTAACAGAGCGTGTTGACGAAACACCGTAAACCGTGGCATTCTCGTTACACGACCGCCAACTATTCAAACGCGCATTGATATGCCTGCAGCACCGGAACATTCTTGTTTATTTATTATTCTTTAATATCGAT